ATAACCTCGAGTTCCATTCATAATATCCAATTCTAGTATAGTTGATAATAATAAACCATAGATAGGATATTGAAAGTTACAAAAAGCATCTTTAGATTCTTTGCTAAATTTCTGAGTCATTCTAACAATATCAGTAATTGTCATAGCAGCAGTAAGACAAGTTTTAATTGGACCATTTGGACCATGTTTTCTCATTTCAATTTTTGGATCATTATAAGCTTGAGATAAATAAGGTTGATGAAGTAAAATTATGCAAGTATGAAATAGAATATTAATATAACCTTTAAAAAAGAAACCCAAAAAAATTAAATTAAAAATTGTATAAATATTGTATAAAATAGAAATAAAATATATGAGTGTCGTCAAAAGAAACCCGACAATTTAAATATAGTCTATATTTAATTGTCGGGTTTTCTTTTGGCGACACTCATATGTAATAGATATTTCATGGGCTATAATGAATATGATAGATTAATATAGCAGAGCTGTTATAATACATTGTGTTAATAACACACCATGAAATATCTTTTAAATCCAACATTTCCTATACCTGTAATATTTCTAACTAAAATTTTTACTGATTACGTTCTGGCTATGAAAAATTTTTAATATTTCACAGCATTACATAATTATAAAAATATCATCAGGAATGTTCATGGGGAATATTAGAGGCTATAGGATATATATATATATATTTAACGTATATATTTACCAGCAAAAGGAGAAAAGGTTGGTAAATGGAAATGATCTTGTTGGTCATTATTAGATATATATTGATGTTGTAATTCATCAGGTAATTCTTTTAACCATTTTGCTAAAGCAGAACGTATTTGCCTTAACAAACTTTTTTGATCAGTTGCATGATTTAACCAATTTGCACGGAATAATTTTGGTTGAGAAGAATAACCAAATTTCCAAATTTGACCAAGTATTCGTGATAATTTTATCCATGCTATGAAGAAGCTCCTTGTTAAGATGTTGAATGACATCAATGTAGGTAAAGGAGCATTAATATTTATATCATCAGTGCAAGAAGGTTTGCCCAATGAGAATGATGACCATCTGTAATATTAATAATATTATTATTATTATTAATGCAACTATAAGATTAACAATTGAATAATGAAAAAAAAGATAAAAACCTCTCACAACAATAAATACAATAAAACACTCTTCGTCTTTCTTCATCCTCTTCTAAAGGTAAAGTA